ATTAAGCTGTTCTTATCTCAACCCATGGGCGTTCCCTTTTTCCGATTCTCCTTCCCATCCCACTTGGGGGAAGGGAAGGAGTGAGCGAGTGGCTGCCTGGTACCTTAGCTGCTGGCTGGGGGTAAACCACCCCACCCGGTCTGCTGCTGCTTAACTGAAACTGAACATGAATAAAAACAGACACTGAAACACTACCAGACCTAGATATATTTAAGAAAGGGCAGTTAACTTTTACATGCTTATTTAACTATTCTCCTGTCCTTAAAAAGACGTTTTCAGCCTTTTTTTTAATAGAATGTTTCCAGGATCAATTCACTGACAGAACTACATTCAGACACATAAGCTTGCCATTTTCTTCGTAGGATTATAACTTCTTTGAAGTCCGTCTACAGTTTCTACAACTCTGGAAAAAGGAAAAAGGTTGAGTAACACATGGACATCCTTTCTCCAGACCATGGAAAGTGACCAAACTAGGGCTGCAATCCAGTAAAGGCATTTGAGGACTACTTTCTTTCTAAAGGATTTGAATGACAAATAGAAGAATAAAAAGGTATTGGGCAAGTAATTAATTGCTTCTTAAGCATCCTGTTCTGCAGTACATTACCTCTGAAGGTTTGGGGAATTTTTTTTCTTTTGTAGCTCTTAAGAAAGTTTCAGGTGTATCACTGAAATAAAAAATTTGCTCTAACTTGGAATATTACCAGCAAAAAGATGCAGATCTTAGAAAAGTTCTCCCTCCATGATTCATTAAAACACAACAGAAAAAAATTGCATTGTTTTTTCTTCTTCGGTTTTCTGTACCTCAGTTCCACTACAAATTGACTATAAATCAATGTTTCTAAGACACAATTTTTCTGTTGCATAATAGTTGGAAGGAGGATTTCACAAAGTGTATTAAGTAGTGTCATTAGAACCATGTATTTGCATTTAAATTCCTCCAGCTGCAATATGTGGTGAAATTAAACACGGAGAATACAAAAATATTTTATTTATATTACACTTAAGTTCAGACAGATCTCATCTTGAGCAAAAAGCCTGACATTGCACTGCAGATTACCTGTTATGGATACACCTCTGCTTTTCCCTACTTTTATTTACTGTTTCCCGTACTTAAAAAATTGGCAGTGGTCTACATCCAACATAAAGGCCATCGACTTTTGAGAAAACTAGGCAAGAAGGAAGGAAGGATTGCTTCAAATTTAATCCTTTTTAAAATATCATTCCTTTCATAATAAGCATTAGAGATAACTCACTGAAGAATTGTAGACATTTTAGCAGAAAAAAATGAAAAACTGGTACCTGTGTTCAAGAAACTTTATAGTATTAAGCACGTGTGGGGTTTTTTTTGAGTTATGACAGCTGAAAGACAACACTCGCTTGGGTAGAAACTTCTAATGTGGAACAGCTAACCTGTCTACCCAAACTTTTAAAGTATTCTGTCCAAGATTTCTTGAAGGTAAAGATATCCATCTGTCACTAGTCCAGAATTCATTATATCTATTGACTTAATGCTACCCGATCACTTCTCATAGCTGAATCATTGCATTTTTCCTATGCTGCAAAAAGAGATTTGTGACTCTAGCAGTCAGTGCAGACATGGATTTACGAGCACCACTTTGCAAGAATTCTTTCTGTATTCTGAACTCCTGTGAGAGGGGAATATTTGCCTCACAGTACTGAAAGAGAAACAAGCACTTCCTTTAGTTAACAGAACAAGTTAATATTATTGATCAGTGTTGTACTCACCCAGAGAAGGGAGTGTGGAAATAAGGAAGCTGTATCCTGAACATCTCTTTTAGTATTTGCTAAAGTATTCAAAGCCTGCATCCACTAGTGACCTAACTGTAAGTTTATTCCTAGATATTCCTTGCACGTAAATGATACACATGTGCTGCTTGCCTCAGAGAGCCAATAACAAGAGTTTTGTTGCTTATATTCCATTCTTTCTTTATATATTCCTGTCTTAACTATCACAACATAAACAAGGCATGATCAAGCTCCAAAATGTCACTGTATACACATTTAGGTGGAGAAAGTTAGCTATTGTAATATTCTTACGGCCTTGAGTGCACCAATAGGCTCTGCAATCCCATTCCAGCCTCAACAGGTTTGGCTGCTTGTGTTCAAGGTCAGCTCTGACACAGTGCAGCTGTGTAAGCTGGGCTCAGGCTTTGTCAAGGCCTCCCCCCATTTGCTGGGGAGCTGTACTTAAGCTCAGGCTGGTGGCCTACACTCTTGCCTAAGCTCTGCTGTAGCATGCCAGTGCCTGCCCAGACACCTTGCTGGCTGGGGTTCACCTTGCACCTCCCTTGTCGTTACAGGCTTGCCTGAAGGCCTGTCACCACTGACTCTGGCACTGGATCCACTCTGTGCTGCAGCTTTGGGTGCTGTGGGCTTGTGCCCCTTGCAGGTAAGGAGAGGATGTGGCCCCTGTCTGCCCTGCTGTCCCCTTTGGCTCCTGGCTCATCTTCCCATGCAGAGCAGTCTGCTCTAGTTTCTCCCTGACAAATACACTCCTATGTTATGATCTCATCTTACTTACAATATTCTCATAACTTATGTTACTATTATTCTTTAACTTTTGAAATCTTTGTTGTTACTGCATAACTGTCACTATTACAATATAATCTGTAAGAGCTTAACTGTAGCCAGGTAACCACTGCAGAAATACCTGTGCAAGCTTAGTGCCCTACTTCCTCCTCTGGAGTTTCTTCACCTTTCCAGCAACCATCTCTTAAGCTGGTTTGTCAGCTGACTCTTCCACTAGGGCAAATGAAGAATGTTCATAGGGTCCTTTCCAGGTGCTAAACTTTGGAAGAAGATCTTAAGTCAAAAAAGACATTTCTGAGATTGTTCGACCACAGGTTAAGTACTTCCTAGAGAACCAGATGGGCACTGACTCAATTTTTTTTTTAAGGAACTAAGATTGTGAACTATTATCAGGGTTATATTTCTGCCTAAAAAGCTCATGCCAACATTTCTCAATTTTTGTCACTCAGTATCCTGTACTAAAAACCTTGTGATTCATACACACTAACCTAATCTCATTCTATTATCCTCCACATCTATACAAGTTACTAGAAAAACACTTACTGAAAGCCTCCTATTGGCCTTGGAAAAATTTCACATAATTGCTAATCACAAGTCACGACCTTGATATTCTCTTTCATAATGTCCTGTAGTGTCAATCCACAATATTATTTGGAACTTTCTAGAAACAAACATCAAGGGACTAAGCGCTCTAAACAACTAAAACAGTTTTCTTCCACTTTGCAATGTGGAAACACCCTGAAGACTGTATGCTAGTGCAGAAAAAATTAATCTACAGAGAGGAAAAAGACCAAAATACAAAACAGTTTCACACAGGGAAATACTATTCTTTAGTGTGATAAACTTTACAGTCCACTAGATAAGCCAAACTCAATAGACGCAGTAACATTAAGCGCAGCCTCCTTCTGATTTTTTTCAATTATTTTTACCAGCAGGTACATACGCAACTGTCACTTTTATATGTTTAGCTTGGATGCATGAACTGAGCTCATATGAGCACACATCTAAAAATACTTTGTCAGGCAGCTGTATGTTACCATAGTAGCTTAAAACAACATAAATGTTCATGCCTGCAGTACTCTGAGATACAAATTTTCTCGGGGAAGTTGTTATAAGCTTATTTCCATTTTGATGCTCCAAGTTTGCGGCTCAAGCACAGGTAAAACTACTGTTAACTACAGTTTAAGACAAGTAATAAAGATACATAAAAATTAGGAGGGTTAGTTTTAACTTGCATCGGATTCAGACAAGATGTCTGCTTTGAATCTTGTCTAAATATGGAGGGCTTAAATCTCCAACATTCTGGCTCCTACTGACATTAATGAGAGTTAAAAGTACAAAGCAACCTACAAGAAAATTACTGTTCATTAGTAACTAGCTGCATAACACTGGATAATAATCATAGGGATAACCATAGATTCACACCAAGCACAAAAGTCATCTGTAAATGTGCTGAATCAAAGCTCACAAAGGCCACTTCAGAAATTTTTTTTTCAAGGCCTATGTATCCAGCACAGGCAGGCCTCTTCATAACCCCATTCTGTAGAGTTCCCATATGTATTAATCACCAAAAGCCTGGTGTTCACTGATACTCTCTTTCTGTTCTACAAGTTTCCTTCCCTGGCAACATTTAAATGCAGCAGCAAGTTGACTTAAGATTCTAAAAAACAGTATTAAAACAGTTTAAAAAGTATTAAAAAACCCCACAAATATACATAAATCATTTTCTCCTTATTTCTTACAAGTCTCCACTATTTATCATTACCTTCCATTAAAGCATTAGGAAAGTTTACCTACAAGAAGCTGCGAAGGAGTAAGTATCCTGAGAAAAAGGAGCCTCTTCCCTTAAGGAATTTATCAAGTTAAATTGCTCATTGGTATAGCACTCTTCACATAAAACTATGTAACAGTTCTCTCTACAAGAGGTAATGTGAAAACATATTTAAAAAAAAAAATACCTGATAATTTGCAGAACTTGGTTATAATGTTCCTATCTTGCTCATCAAAGAGTCTGACATCATCTTCATTCTCCAGGACTGCTCGCAGCACCACTAAAAAATTCTGGAGGTAATATGGGTAACCAGGAGAGCCGGGCACAGAATGAAGCTCATTTATTTTGTCTAAAATGCTCCCAACAGAATTTTTAAACTCTACCTTTTCCACAGTTTCTGACAAAGTATGATTAATCTCATCCTTAAAGTCTTCATGAACTTCCACAGGAAGTACCTGTACATCACCCTTGCTAAAGCAATTTTGCGTCCCACAGTTCAATTCCGTCTTAGAAGAAGGAATAACCTGAGTGTGAGGCTGCATATTGACTTCCAAACTATTGGTCAGCTCTGCTGAAGTATAAATGGCTAGATGTGTTTCAAATTGATCAGGACTAAGTATCACACCTTCAGACCTACTTTCTGTTTTGGTGCTCCTTGTACCAATTGGTAACCTTTTGCCACTAATGTTATCAGCTGGTAACGATACCTGGAATCTATCCACAAGGTCTTCTCCAGTACATTTGTTTATTTCTTCTTGAAATTCAGGTTCCTTCTCTGAAAAATTTTGTTTCTGGTACTTTCTCTCAGTAAGCTGATTTTCTTTCTGAGAACTATGCCCTGCATAAATCTCATCATCATCCTGTCCTGCAGCACTTTTGCACATATTGTGAACAGCTGGAGGTGAAGAGTCGATCTCTTTATGCATGATCTGTTTTCCTCCCTGGATACGTCGTCTTCTGGACAGTTTAGATGACAAGCTTCCCAGAGAGACTATTTTAACTGTTTGAGCCTGTGGTTCATTGCTAACACTACAGACTGACCTACTGCTGAAATAAGGACTAATCTGTTGTGCCACACTCCCTTCTGTTTTCAATAAACTGCTTTTGGAAGGACTTGTTTCCAGATTTAAGAGGTTTTTTGAAAAACGTGAGCTGGAATTATTGTTCACATTTGCAGCTGGTGGACTCTCATTCCTAAAAGAGCTGAGTGTCGAATCAATGACACCAATCTCACCATGGTTTCTCTGACATGTTTCATCCATGTGCTCATTTATTCTGTGTCTTGGCACCATTTGCCCACACATGGGACAGGTAATTTCAGCAGGGGGAACATTGTTAAAAAAGGAAATAATAGAGGATGCTGCTGAAGGTATAGATGGTGTTCCTTTACCTTCCACTTTTTTTGCTGTTCCTTTTTTTTTCTTATTTTTACTGAGTGACAAACTTAATCGGGATCTTTTAATTTCTGAACACGCAGCTTCTGCCATTACGAAGCTTCAAAGAATTTACATGGCACAGGCCATAGCTTCTGCCATTACAAAGCTTCAAAGAATTTACATGGCACAGGCCACTTCATTCAGGCCATATTTCTTTATTCTGTAATACTTAAAAGAAAAAAAAAGACAGCTTGGCTTGCATTTTCCATCTGAAAAAAAGAAAATATACTGAATTAAAGATCTTCTAAGGTACCAAATGCAACCAAGATGAACAGTGGAGAAGAAAAAATAAAACCCTAAAAGTGTACAAGTCAAGCAATCCTGAATTACTACAAATGCAACTGTCCCTTTACCTTCTCACTAGGCAGGCAAGCAAGCACACCACGACTGTCACGCTCAGCACTGCAGCGGGCTTCATGGGAATGGTTTAAAAAATGGAACTACTACTGTACACTTCGACTAAATGCCACGTTCACTTGCTGATGTAAATGAAAACTGGAGTTAGAATTCAATGTAAAGATACAGTCAAGTCCTCTAATTTTTGTCATTATTTATCTTGTTTGCTATTTATAGGCATACTGGTTCTTGGGGCCAGCCACGCACTTTTACAGAGCACGGGCA